GCCCAGGGCAGGGGGGTGGAACTAGATGATCTTCAAGGTCCCTTCCAACTAAAACCATTCTAGGATTCTTCAGCCCCACCACATCGTGGGGGGTTGCTAACTAATGGAGTCATTCAGCAGTGTTTTTGCCTCTTGGACTCAACTGACCTGCCCAGCCAAGTATGAAAAATACAAAGAGAAAGTCAGGAAATGCATTATATTCTAAATAATCTATCGTTTGGGAATGGTGAGGTCACGGCACTGCCGATGGAGTCACCAACCAAGCAGCAAAGATTCAAGTTGCTTTTCTGTCTGCTGGGATATGTGAACTGCTGCCAGTAGAAAAGCATAACAACCTGAATTTCCATGCTCAGGTAAGTGTCCCTTGTCCTCAAGGCTGCTTAATATGCACTATCTGCTTGCTTGGCTTCTTGAAGAGCCACAGATGCAAGAGTGCATTTAATTGTTTTCCTGAATCAGACCCCTGGAGCCATCAATATCTCACATGTGTAATTACAAATCATGAGTCTTGCAACTGAAGCGCAATCAGCACATCTAGCCATAAATCTTCCAGATATCAGCAATTTCTCCAAAGCTGCTTTTTGACAAAACCTGATGCAGCATGTACTAAATTCAGGAAGAAGAAACCACTGGCACTGAGGTTCGCAGTCCACCAGAGCTGCTGCAGCAGACAGGCTCCGCACCCCGGGGAAGCCCAAAGGAACTCACTGTGCCAGGTGGAAAATTAACATCTTTCTGATGAGGAAAGGCTGAAGCACTTGGGGCTTCTCAGTCTGGAGAAGAGAAGACTGAGGCCGGATCTCATCAACGCTGATAAATCCTTAAAGGGGGGGTGCCAGGGGGATGGGAACAGTCTGTTTCCAGTGGTGCCCAGTGACAGGACAAGAGGGAACGGGCACAAACTGGACCATAGGAAGTTCCATCTCCACCTGAGGAGGGCCTTCTCTGCTGTGAGGGCGGCAGAGCAGTGGCACAGGCTGCCCAGAGAGGTGGGGGAGTCTCCCCCTCTGGAGCCATCCCAAACCCGCCTGGACGCCGTCCTGTGCCACTGCTGGAGGTGCCCCTGCTCTGGCGGGGGGTGGGATGGGGGAGCTCCAGAGGGCCCTTCCAGCCCTCACCAGTCTGTGACTCTGTGAATCATTCCTGCAGATCACAGGAGTGCAGCTCTCGCCCTGGGATACCCCATGTCCAGATCAGGTCATCAATCTACAATTTCACAGCATTTCTGAAGACCTCCTTTAGACTTCCCACAGGGCACAGAAAGCTGCAGTTTTCTTCCATTTTTTGTCGACAGGCAGGTTTTCGGGACTCTGTGCACTCTCATTGATGTATATCATTAATAACGCAGGACTGCCTACATCTCCTAGAGCAAAGTGTGCCCAGGTGTGTAACACAAACATGTAATCATTTATACACACACATCAGCACCATTCGAACTAGGAAATCTAAACATCTCTGCAAGAGCTCGTGCTGATGAAGATCAGGATCTATACGATGACCATTTCAAATGTCACTTACTGTCTGCCTCTTCTGTCAGTGCTGATTTAGACACGATACATTACGCTGTAATCACAATTTTATCTTCTGGGCTGCGGTAGTTAGAGGAAATCTGTGAGCCTGGCAAGGGAAGTCTAGCTGTGAAACGCACGCACAACCCAGTGCTAAGATTGAGGGTATCTTTGTGTATCAGGATTTTAAATGTTAATGGAGGAAAAAATACAAAAGAAGATGTATTACAGAATACAAGTATTATCCCTCCGAGGCATTAAGAGAGACTATTTCTTGTA